GTGCGGCCACACAACCCCATCCTGAGCGCGGAGGGCACCGTGATTGGTAGGTGGACCCGGGCGGCTGGAGCTCTGTCCCTTCCCGGGAGGTGGGGACACCGGCCTGTCAGGTGGTGCTGACACGCGGTCTCTGCCCACAGGCGCCGTGACCAGCGGCTGCCCCTCGCCCTGCCTGAAGAAGAACGTGGCCATGGGCTATGTGCCCCCCGAGTACAGCCAGCCGGGCACCCAGCTCCTGGTGGAGGTGCGGCGGAAGCAGCAGGTGGCTGTGGTCAGCAAGATGCCCTTCGTGCCCACAAACTACTACACCCTGAAGTGAGGATGGCTGGGGGCGGGGCCCTCCACTGCAGGGCATTCTACAAGGGCTAGTCAGGAAGCTGAGGCAGGACACGTGGGTAGGTGGCGAGGGTATAGGCTAGTTCTGGTTGTGGGCGGGACACACCACCTATACCCCCTCACCCTGTGCCACTTCAAGACCGATTTCTTAGTGACGGACCAGCTCACCAATGTCTTGTTTCTGCCCACGCTCCCGCGGGCCCACTCTTGCCTGCTGAGGGCTGAGAAGCATCAGTCCCCGCATTTCCTCTCTGCCGGGTGCTGCCTGTGCCTCAAAGGCTCACCTTTAGGAGGATCGAGCTGCCCAGCCTACCTCACAGGGTTCTCACACTTCCAAGGACATGACCTTGGGCAGTGCCAGCCACCTCCTCTGGTTTACTTCTCATGAATGCAAACTGCTGCCTCTCCCTGGGCAGCACTGATTCCTGACTCGGAGGCTTGGCTCAGGAGGGCTGCTGCGCCCGTGTGCAAACTCGGGGATGGCTGAGGGGCACAAGTTGGCCCAGCCTGCTGCCCAGCGGCAAGCCAGCCAGGCTCACCACTGTTCTGAGCCCAGGGCTGCTGTAGGGCAGGCTGGGCCTCCTCCTGGGCTTGCCTTCGCCTGGCCTGACCTGTGCCCCTGTGGCCTGTTACTGGACGCCACTGACTCCTAAAAAATAAACGAGCTTCCTTCTTGCCAGAGTCTAGCTTCACTGTCCTTTGCCCACAGGGTTCCTGGGGTGCCAGCCTGATGCTTGCTTCCTGGCCTCTGGGACAGGCTCAGGGGTGCCCCTAGAGAGGGGCAGGTCTATAAGGACTAATGGGATAGTGCCCGTGTTGGGCACCCTGCACTACTTTACGGAGCTGGCATCAACCCCCCAACTTCGCAAGTCATTAAATTCTGGGTGCTGAGGGGCAACAGCCCTGGGGTATTCCCTCGCTTCCCGTGCACGCACGCCCTTGTCCTGTCTGAATAACCACACAGCTGATGCACTTCCATGTTTAATAGCCACGAACTCAGTTGAGCCTCGAGTGGAATGCGACCCCGACTCTGTGTGGTGGCGTCAGTGGGTCACCTGGGGCTGCCAGACCATCACCCCGCGGCAGACGGTGTCTGGGCAGTAAGCACCGGGCAGGAGCTCAGCACCCTGTGCAGGCGGTCCAGGCACAGGCTGCCAGATGGCGATGTGACACCGACAGGGGGGCAGGCAGACGGCCCGGAGGCAGGTCTAGGCCACACTGCCTTCGGGAACTGGCCTTGCCGCCCATCCCTTTGGCAGGCCCCCTGGCCTACTTGGGAAGGGGCAGGCCTGCTTCGCCTGTGGCTCTGCCCTCTTAAAAGTTCTTGGGGGCTGAGATGGCGCTAGTGGGGAGGACCTGAGCCCGCGAGCTGCTCTTAGGACGAAGCTCCTGTGGTTCCAGGTCAAGATGGGAAGTGATGAGGCTGCGGCCGGGGCTGCCCTGTGCTAACTGCTTAGGATCCCGAGGAGGGGCAGGGGACAGACCCACCACCCGGGGCGCTTAGCACTGAAGTGTTGGGGGTGGGAAGTCACCCTGGGGCTCAGCCTCTTCCAGGCACCCAGCTTCCCTCCAAGGATTGGGAGGAATATGAGGATGATGCTCAGGATAAGAGTTTCCATAGCCTGGCTCACACCTGGAGAGCTCTGGATGTGACCGGAAGCTAGGTGTTTGGTGCCTCCATGTCTGGATGGTGCCAGCTGCCCCCTGCCTTACTTATACTTGAATGGCCAACTAAGTACCCACAGAGTATAAGGCTGTGTCCAGGCCAAGATTCCTGGGTCCCTGCCAACACAGCAAAACCAAATTCAGAAAACCTATGGTTTAAGTGGAAACAGACTTCCCTTGCAAATCCCAGAGCAAGTCAACCTCAGGCTTCGTGAGGGACAAATCCCTGTGGGTCAGCTCCCAGGGGGATGGGAAGAGGGACAGGAAAAAGCCAAGACAGGAAATGGGCTGCTGGCCTTCCTAACCCAGAGGCTTCTACACTGACCCGAGAGAGCAGCATGCCTGCTCTCCTTAAGGCACCAGATCAGGGGAGAGAACTCTTTCCCGGCCCAGTGCCTGGGCTGCTGGAGGAAATGCCCAGGGCAGTGGGGGCCCAACTCCACAAGCACTGGGGTACTCCCTACCCCCCAACCCTGACGCCCCTGCAGTCATCCCTGGGGCCTGGGCAGCAGTAGGACCCAGTGTGGGAGCCGGCAGACCCGGAGATGTCCCTGGAGACCCCTCTGCTGCCTCCCTTATTCTCTGTGGGTTTTGAGAGGCTCGTTTGCTGCTGTCTCCCTGAAGGTGATGGAGAGAAGAGAGGGTTAGTCAGCCGGCAGCACAACAGTCCCTGACGTTGGTTTCTCCTGCTCCTGGGGCTGAGTGGAGCTCAGTAGAGCCACACCACAACCCAAACCTCTCTGAGCTCCCACAGCCCACCCTGGGCCCACCACCTTGCCCCGACAGACCCATTCTCCCTCCTGGTCCCCACCTCAGGAGGGAACTTCCATCCTTCCCCGTTTGCCCGAGGAAAAAGCCTGGGCAGTGCAGGTCTCCTAATTGACCCCTTGCCCTCTCTAATTGGACCCCTTTATGTACTTGCCACAAAGCAGGCAGATGAAAAAGCAAATTAGATTAGCCATGGTCCCATGTGACTCAGTCCTTCAATAGATCCCAAAAGTCTAGGCCAGGGGTGGGGACCTTTTCTCCTGCCCAGGGCCATGTGGGTATTTATAACACCTTTCACAGGCCATACAAAATTATCAACTTAAAAATTAGCCTGCTCTGCTTGGTCAAATACTTGACGTTCCCCACCCCTGGCCAGGGCTCTGCGGGTCCCTCCAGGCCTTCACGTTGGAGCTCCAGCATTACAGCCTTGTCTATTCCTCCAACATGTCACCTTGTTCTTGCCTCTGGGCCTATTTGAGCCATTGTCAGCCTTTGCCCTCAGCTTAAGTGTCTTTCTTAAGAGAAACCTCTAACCACCCCTGCACTGCTCCCCCACCCCCCTTCAAACCTCTGGCTCCCCTGTAAGCAGGGCCTGGGTTAACCTTGTTCTCTGGTCCCTGCCAGGTGGTGGGAGCCCAGAGATTAGCTGAAAGAATGCCCTGACGACTGGGCCCATGTTTCACAGATGAGCAGGTTGATCCTGATGAGGCAGTGCAGGAAGGACAGAGGCCCTGCCTTTCCAGCGGCGGGGCTTGCAGTGAAGTGCAGTGCCAGGCACTTGCCATTTCATCTCTGAAACTGTGAATGACACGGTCCAGCCCACAGGGTGCTGAACAGCAAACTGATGACGGACTGTTCCGACATCCTGGCCACCTGAAACCTAAGCTCTACTGGCTGATCTCCGAGCTTCCGGAAAAGGCCACTAAGATGGAGGACTCGGGCCCTGAGAACTCCCCTCCCCAGCCCCCAGCACAGGAGTGTCCCTCTGCCTGCCTAGCACGGGGTTGAGATGGGAACAGATTTACTCACCACGAAGGGAAATGCGTGGAGCCATCGGGTGTGGATCCGTTCTGGCCGCCCAGACCTGGGGGCAGGAACACATCCAGAGCTGCAGCGGGCCGAGTTGGGGGTCTGAGCAGGCCTCAGCCCAGGCAGGTTAGAGGCTAGTGGTGATTGGTGGGTCTGGTGGGGGCCCTAAGGGACTAGTGCATTGTCTGGTGAGGGCTCAAAGAAAGAGTTATAACGAGATGAGTGGATACAGGCGTTTCTTGCGTGAAATGGTATGTTGGCATGGATCAGAGGACAGCGTTAAGTTGCAATACGGTTCTTAGGGGACCAATGGTCGTCTAAGGGGGTTCTGGGGAGCCCAACGGTACATCCCGCTGGGTGTGAGGGCGGCCAGTCCACGGAGGTTGGCGGGGGGCCTCACCTGGGCGATGGTACAGCCCGGTCACCGTGCTCCCGTAGAACCCCCACGCCAGCTGGATGCACAGGAGACTTAGCACCAACCACAGCAACAGCAGCTTGAAGAGGGTCACACGCATGTCCTGCGCCTCCCACTCCCGCAGAAACTCGCTGCCCAGGGCGCCCAGAGCGCCCAGCGCCGTGGCCGGCAGCGCCTGCAAGGACTGCCCAGACCAGGACTCCGCCATGACGGACCCGCGCCCCACCCGGAGGGCTGTCACCTTAGCCCCCACTGCGCAGGCGTCTGGTCTTCCGGGGCCAAGCCCGCTGGGCGCACGCGTAAACCGAGGCAGAACGAGCCCAACTCGCCTGCGCGCAGAGTTGGCAGTTTGGGAGGGGTAGCAGGGCCGCGCACGCGCACCAAGCACCGCCCCGCGCGCTTACAGGCCGGGTGACTCGGGGAGCACAAAATAGCAACCAGGTCTTTTATAGCCCCCGAGTTCCCGTGATGCCTCGCGCGGCTGCC